AGTGGAATTATTAATACGATTCCAGGCGAATATATAACTCGTTATGCGACCATTGTGAAATTCCGTCGAACCCGATAAAGAAGTCGGGCAAAAACGGCATCAGGCCTGAACCCGATCTTTTGGAATCAATAAACTATTTCAAACTTTACATAGCAGAATGAGCAAAGAAAAGACGAACCGGGGAACAATGCCGAGTGACGTCAGAAGCGGAGAGAGCTGCATTGTTAGGTCATCAGGAAACCATTCATATCACTTGATGGTACAATGCATCTCAATCTCAGTGCCAAACTCCTTCTCTTTCCTCGGAGTCGTCTTGGGTCTCTGCTCGGAGCAGATAGCAAGAAAATATCTGTGCATGTATCTCCTCTCCTTGTATACATACATTCATATACACAAACAGATATAGAGGTATTTATATTTCTGGGGACTACAATCGAGCTATCCACGCTATATCTTCCGCTTCTATTGTTTTTCTAGCCACATAAATTCATATGTTGGTAACACACGATTTGATAATCAAGAAACTTTGATTAAAACAGGTCGTGATTATCTCATAATCTCACGACACGAATTTTATAATGTGTAATTGTTGCGAGTTTCTTAGAAATTAAATTCTGAAAAGTTGAAGGACACAGATACCAAAACACCAAACTTTTTATTTTTACCAGGTATATCAAATTCATATTTAGACAATCTTTTATCTGAAATCTGGTTGTTTCTAGAGAAAACTTGATTACATTTTGATAATAATTATTTTATGTGTTAGATAATAAATAAATAGTCGACATGTAGTAGCGTTCATCATCAAATAATTTGCTAATTTGCTAAACTGTTTCAGTTTTATGTCAGCAATAATGATCTGAAATAAAATTATTTCTTATCTTTTTTTTTTTGCAATTTTCAGCTATGAACAGTAAATAATGAAAAGCAAAATAAAATTATTATATCAACAAATTAATGGCTGTCATTGGTATTTTTTACTGGCAATAAAATCTGAAATTTAAATTTAATTTTATCGCTGAAATGTGTTTTAATGCTAAATGTATCTATATGTATTCAATATTTTGTTTTTTATTTGTTATAATATTTATCTTTAATTTAATGAACGTAAGAATTAATACTAATTTGTCAAGAATATCATGATTACTCCCTGTACAACAAGGTTTCTAATACGCATGCTTGCGAATCTTGACGTAATTCCGCTTTTACGTAATACGACTTCCTTCGTCTTCGGTTGAACCTGTACAGCCACAGACGACCACAACGTTAATTTACTGTGTGTATCGCCATTTTGATGAAATTCAGAAGCTAATGCTTTTAACAATTTCACATAATTTAAGTGTTTCAATAAAGATATTACAACACGTAATCAACTATTATGTATTGTTTGTTGCGTTAGGTATGTAATTAACCTTCTCCTTTATTTCATTTTTCTGTATTCTAACCTGCACCGTTATTTTATTTTTCAGGTTTTACAATAACGCTACAATCTTCGATGTGCAGATCAGATGCAAAGAGGCTTTGTTAAAAGTATAATTACAGAATTATGTTTATTAGAAATACATAAATAGGGGTATTACAATATTACCATTACTTTTGAATACTCTTACACACATACATAATATACACAACTATGAAGCTTGAAAGTCTCTGAATTTGTACCTACTCGATTGACTGCAAAATTTTAAGGTATGAGGTTTAATTTTTATACAATTTATTACAAAAAAACGTGTATTGATTTTTTTGCTCTGAATGATAGGTATTTACAGCCCTTTTTATTATAATGTAAGGTAATTAATAATTGTGTGCAATATAAATGACTATTGCATTATTATCTTTGTACACCTTTCTTAATTACTTAGTTCCTCCTTTTTTGGGGTTCCTTACTTCTAAACTGAAGGAAAACGGGACACTTGTAGGATTACACACGTATCTGTTTGTCACAGCCATTTCTTTAGAAAATATTAAATGTAGATTGAAGAATATTAAAATAAATAACAATCACTTGGTAAAGTTTAACTGAGTAAGTTAAAGTTTAGCTAAATTGTTAAAGTTAAAGCTAAATTAGTTAAAGTTTCATAAAAATGTTCGTTATTTTTTTAATATTTTAAAATATTTCACCAAGTGATTTGCGAAGAAATAATATAACCGCGTCAGAGAGAAAAACTGAAATAAGACCTTCATTATCGATCGTTAAGTTGCAAAAAGTATTTTTGATCTTAATTAAAATTTCTGTGCGCTAGTCCGAATGGCACTTATTGTTAACCAGTTTTATGAAATACTTCCGCGCTAGAGAAATAATAACTGTGACGGATAATAGCCATACATCGCGTCAATAGACTTTTTATTACTGGTTGAGTTGAGCATGCCATATCGGGCCGAAGGCTTAGATTAAAGATATGATACAATAACAATGGCTTGTCTGTCAGTTCTGAATAGAAGTAAACTTGGTGTATCCGTCAGGATATCTCGAGGGGAAATTATTAACTGCACCGTCGTTATTAATTATTAAGATGCCGCCGATGCAAAAACTGCGACCGTTTACCAGAAACTGTGATGGTTGATAACAGAGTTATGCGTCTGGAAGGTTCAAAGTAGCGTATTTACCAAATGCGATGTCGATTCAGATAAAGAATTACGTTTGATGCAGAAGCGGCGCTTGAAAACTTAATATACTGGGGAAGACTGGGGAGAAGAATATTGTTCAGAAATAGTTGTGGACGTGGGATGTTGTAGTTTTGGGGAAATGTGAAGATTAACTCAAGATGGGAAGGAATGGAGGTGCGTTTGCACTCAGATCAAACTGTATGGGCAGGTGTTCAGTTAATGTGCTGAGATATAATGGGAAAGGTTTTTCCAGAGTTTTACAACAATGGTAGGGTTTCTGACCATAGTGGTACACTTCCGCGCGAATGGAGCCGCTCGCAAAAGCTTCTTATTTTTAAATTGAGTGTAATTTCACTCCTTATTATTTTTCCTATCACGATCAAACAATTTTTGTGTTAAATGGTTTGAGCAAGCAACCTTTTTCAAAAATATACTAGTAAAAGACCAGACCCTAGTTTTGTGGTTTCGTAAATTGTTAAAACGGTTGCGTGCCTTTAAGCATCCTTTTGAGTGGTGGCGATAAATAATTTCCGAATTAAACGAAGACCACTTATTGTAGGAGCTATATTATTTCATTAATTTGGCCGTTTGAAATAATGGGGACGTTATGTGTGCGCATAGAGACGGCGGATTGGCGGCGTCGAATACATTTCGTGACCTGTCAGGTTTAAAGTTTAATTCGCCCTTTTAAATTCCACGTCACGTATTCTTATGCTAATGGCACATTAACAACACTAGTGGCTCTTTTAAAATGAGCCCATCCATTATTTTTTAAAGTACAGGTCGGAAGACTGGGCGATTAGGTGGTGATGCTTTGGTCCTCTTAATGGCAACGGTAATACTTCTGTCATTCCTGTTTTCAGTATTACTACTAGACGCCGAGAAAATCGTCTCATATTTTCTGAAATCAAAATCTATGCGAAAATCCGAATTACTGAAGCCTCTTTAAAATGCAGAATAAGTTTATGATTAGATGATTTGATTGATGTCATAATTTTATTCATAACCGATTTAAACAAATAAAGATGGCGTGGATACAAAAATCTTCTGTAGGTCTACCTAATATATATCGTACTCATTTTGAAGACGCAAGTCTTTTGTGGTATTCCAAAAATTTTTACGTTGACCAGTGGAATTATTAATACGATTCCAGGCGAATATATAACTCGTTATGCGACCATTGTGAAATTCCGTCGAACCCGATAAAGAAGTCGGGCAAAAACGGCATCAGGCCTGAACCCGATCTTTTGGAATCAATAAACTATTTCAAACTTTACATAGCAGAATGAGCAAAGAAAAGACGAACCGGGGAACAATGCCGAGTGACGTCAGAAGCGGAGAGAGCTGCATTGTTAGGTCATCAGGAAACCATTCATATCACTTGATGGTACAATGCATCTCAATCTCAGTGCCAAACTCCTTCTCTTTCCTCGGAGTCGTCTTGGGTCTCTGCTCGGAGCAGATAGCAAGAAAATATCTGTGCATGTATCTCCTCTCCTTGTATACATACATTCATATACACAAACAGATATAGAGGTATTTATATTTCTGGGGACTACAATCGAGCTATCCACGCTATATCTTCCGCTTCTATTGTTTTTCTAGCCACATAAATTCATATGTTGGTAACACACGATTTGATAATCAAGAAACTTTGATTAAAACAGGTCGTGATTATCTCATAATCTCACGACACGAATTTTATAATGTGTAATTGTTGCGAGTTTCTTAGAAATTAAATTCTGAAAAGTTGAAGGACACAGATACCAAAACACCAAACTTTTTATTTTTACCAGGTATATCAAATTCATATTTAGACAATCTTTTATCTGAAATCTGGTTGTTTCTAGAGAAAACTTGATTACATTTTGATAATAATTATTTTATGTGTTAGATAATAAATAAATAGTCGACATGTAGTAGCGTTCATCATCAAATAATTTGCTAATTTGCTAAACTGTTTCAGTTTTATGTCAGCAATAATGATCTGAAATAAAATTATTTCTTATCTTTTTTTTTTTGCAATTTTCAGCTATGAACAGTAAATAATGAAAAGCAAAATAAAATTATTATATCAACAAATTAATGGCTGTCATTGGTATTTTTTACTGGCAATAAAATCTGAAATTTAAATTTAATTTTATCGCTGAAATGTGTTTTAATGCTAAATGTATCTATATGTATTCAATATTTTGTTTTTTATTTGTTATAATATTTATCTTTAATTTAATGAACGTAAGAATTAATACTAATTTGTCAAGAATATCATGATTACTCCCTGTACAACAAGGTTTCTAATACGCATGCTTGCGAATCTTGACGTAATTCCGCTTTTACGTAATACGACTTCCTTCGTCTTCGGTTGAACCTGTACAGCCACAGACGACCACAACGTTAATTTACTGTGTGTATCGCCATTTTGATGAAATTCAGAAGCTAATGCTTTTAACAATTTCACATAATTTAAGTGTTTCAATAAAGATATTACAACACGTAATCAACTATTATGTATTGTTTGTTGCGTTAGGTATGTAATTAACCTTCTCCTTTATTTCATTTTTCTGTATTCTAACCTGCACCGTTATTTTATTTTTCAGGTTTTACAATAACGCTACAATCTTCGATGTGCAGATCAGATGCAAAGAGGCTTTGTTAAAAGTATAATTACAGAATTATGTTTATTAGAAATACATAAATAGGGGTATTACAATATTACCATTACTTTTGAATACTCTTACACACATACATAATATACACAACTATGAAGCTTGAAAGTCTCTGAATTTGTACCTACTCGATTGACTGCAAAATTTTAAGGTATGAGGTTTAATTTTTATACAATTTATTACAAAAAAACGTGTATTTGATTTTTTTGCTCTGAATGATAGGTATTTACAGCCCTTTTTATTATAATGTAAGGTAATTAATAATTGTGTGCAATATAAATGACTATTGCATTATTATCTTTGTACACCTTTCTTAATTACTTAGTTCCTCCTTTTTTGGGGTTCCTTACTTCTAAACTGAAGGAAAACGGGACACTTGTAGGATTACACACGTATCTGTTTGTCACAGCCATTTCTTTAGAAAATATTAAATGTAGATTGAAGAATATTAAAATAAATAACAATCACTTGGTAAAGTTTAACTGAGTAAGTTAAAGTTTAGCTAAATTGTTAAAGTTAAAGCTAAATTAGTTAAAGTTTCATAAAAATGTTCGTTATTTTTTTAATATTTTAAAATATTTCACCAAGTGATTTGCGAAAAATTCATCTCCTATAATACACTGAAAAATCTTGAAAATTAACGTTGGCATTTCGAAAATACTTTTCAAAAAATTAAGGGTAAATTAAGTGACTAACAACACTCCCCCTTTATAACACTTTCATTTATAACCAGAGGTGTAAACTAATCTATGCAGATAGAGAACTAAGAAGAAATTAATGATGTTTCTAACATTTATATTTCGAAGAAAAAATCACAAATTGTGGGTAAAATTGTGTACCCAAATGTAGGTCTTGTATATTTTAATGTATCTAAGCAGTTGTGAGGTTGTCCATAAATTACATAGTAGTAATTGGGGGAGGAGGAATCCAACCGGGTGTGTTGGTCCTGTTGCACAAGGGGTGATGCTTGGTCAATGTTTTTAATTAAAGCATATAGCATCAAAACAGTTTGAAAACAAATAGAAAGTATTATAACTGCGTACATTATACAACAAACATTTAGCGTCCTAGACAATTTCGACACAGGATAAAGATCTGTACAGTAGGTTTACTTCCCAGTCACGCCAATACACCCCTCCTGCTGACGCTTCATCTCCTCACCTATTACGAATTCTCCGCTAAGCAGGGGCTTGATTTAACAGAGTGTTATCGTGAAGCTACAGTGCAAATACATTTCGTATCTGAACACTTCGGTAAAACTATTAAATCGTCTTCGTACATAAAATTAATTTATGATGGCCCGCAAAAAATGTCGGTATTATAGGCAGATCAAAGCAGTGAACCTACTGTATAGAATATTTATTTATACTGTGGTTTCGAGAGAATGCAGACCCACAGTAGCTGCTGCCTTAAGACAATGTTTTTATGAATTACTACAAACCTCGTGGTAAACATCTTCTATAGTATATTTTACCATTAGTTTAGCAAGATCCTTAGCGATATCGACTTGAAATGATTCCACAGCATAGTTAACCTTAGCAAAGTAGAGCAAAGAGCTCATGGCGGTTAGTATTCTGTCGAAACGTCTACCAAGTGCTAATGAGATCCAATGATATTTCGACAGAATAGTGACCACTATGAACTTCTTTTTCTGTTTGCTTCGAGAAGTTGAAATCCTTATGGACCTTGTTGATCATTTCTGTATTTTACAGGTAGTAATATACTACCAGATAACATTGACGTTATAATTACATTATGTTCAACAAATTTTTAAATATCTAAGAATAAATGATAAAATATTCTTGTCTGTGCTTATCCCTCTCGCTGTTCTTTTGTCATTTTACGGATTGTCTACCTACAAATAGCGAAGATGAAAAGATAACTTCTATAATAAAAATGTCCCGAAATAACATTTTTATTAAGTTGACATCGCTGTTGATATTTGAAACGTTAGTTCGGTTTTTTTGATTGGTTTTATTCGTTCCATGACTACAGAGCTTTCAAAGAATAACTTTAAGCGCTTTGGACGGCAACTGTCCAGCTGTTCATTGTACAAAGTTTGCTCGTATTTATTCTGTGCGCTTGTACTCAACCAACACTGACCACAAACCGCCTTTGCTTTAAAACAATATTGAGTATACAATTTGTCACAATTCTTTGATTTCTTACGAAAATTTTAAATAAAACAAAAAGCAACAATATTATCAGTATTATAAAAAAAGTTACGTTATTTGATTGTAACTATTATTAGCGGTTTTCCTATGAAATGCCATCGAACAACAATCGTTAATAATCGAATTTTTAATAAAGGAATATTTGTTATGATGAATAAAAAAAGGATGATCAAAATCAAGAACTAATCTTATTTAGCATAGTATTTTCTAAGTGTCTCTGTAGGCCATAATCAAATAAACTGGAGATATGGAGTACTCGGCACGTTCATTTTAACATTAGTCATGCACGTCTTACAACGGATACTGATTTGTTTCATCTTTACTGAATATTTTGCGGTTTCATGAGCATTATCATTCTTATAACTTCCCATCAGTAGGTAATAATAATTAATTTTAGTTTTGAGGGATGAGCAAGAGAATTAATTATGAACTGTGTGAAGTAGACCAAAACAAATTTAGAGAACATACGTTACGGTTAATATGCTTACTTAGCCAATTTGTAAACTAGTTTGAAATTGTTCAAATGTCTGATTTGGTGGATATGAAATATAAGGTTACGGTAGGAGTTGATACTTATCGTTGCTATGTATTTCCTTTTAAGGAAAAAATGATAATGGCATTACTCACTTCGTGAGTGTTGCCTTGTTCTACCGTAGGCTAAATATACCCGTCAAACCAGACATTTGCGGAAGCTTGTGTAAGTACTATCTTACTCCAGGAGTTTCAAAAATTACTGTGTAAAAAAATGAAAATATTACTATAATTCTACGAGACACATCTGCAAAATCTAATAGGGTGAAGCAATTACCTATGTGATACAATTTATATTTTGCCACTTAGCTCCTTAAATTGTATTATTATAGATTTTCAAACGCTTCAATTATGAGCAGTGATAAATAATAGACGAAAGGAAACTATTACAAAAAGAGTTACTAACTGCAGAAAAAAGGAAATAAAAAAAAAGAAATGACATGATAAGAAGTATTTAGTCAACCAAATAGTTAAGTATGTAACCGAAACATAATCATTTTCAAATTTATGGTAATTGGTGAGTGGCTTATAATAATTCTTTTATAATATNTTTTGTGTTCTTAAGTTAATAATTTACATATTCACGTATTTTATTAAATAATGTGTTTTGTCTTGTAATAAAAGTGTAAAAAATAATATCTTTTTTATAGAGAAGGTTTGTTTAAATTATGACAGATACATACATAGGTATGCTCTATTAAAAGGCCCATAAAAATTATTATTTGATATAAATCATTATTTTGTGGTAAAATAAAACTGTGGGCATTTGGCCATTCACGACAAGTATTTAAAGGAATTCTTCATTTATTTTGAAACACAAAATTGTTTCTGAGAGAAATTCTTCAATATTATACAATCATTAATGTGTGGAAGGTACACATTTACTCTATTTAATTGTTAACTGTCGATTAATCAAATTATGGCGTCTCTTAATCTTGAATTTTATTGGAGGAAATGTCTAAAGAATACCTAAAGGCCTAGAGGAAAAATAAAATCAAAATTCAAGATCACTGGAAGAAAAATTAAAGGAAAATTCGAAAGGTTTGGAAGAAAACTTAAACCAAAATACGAAAACGTTAGAAAAACTGGAAGAAAAAATGAAGGGAGAATTAAATGAACATTCTAGAATATTAAAAGAAAATTTTGAAGAAATGTTAATGAGAATTCTAAAGCATTAAAAGAAGAACCACTGGGAAAAGTGGGGACATTCGACAAAAATTTGTCAGAAACAGAAAATAAACTTGAATGTCAAATTGAAGAGGTGGAAGTACGGATGAAGAACTTTCAGAAAAGTTCTTGAAGACAATTATACCGGAAAAGATCCATAATCAGTTGCAACGATATTATTATTGAAGGAGTCTCGTTCCATCGAAAGTACCCACGAAGCCAGTTCAATTTAAGACATCATGGACTATTTTATTTATACAATTCGAGGCAGCCGCAGGGATTGCAATTATAAGAAAAGTCTTGACATTGAACGAGGAAACGTTCAAACTCCATGCGCAAAACACTTCTGTTCCACAAGTTAAAAGGTTGAACACGTAACAGGAATATCCAACGAGTCCTAGAAGCTTTCTTACGAATGTTCGAGAAAACCAGCAAAATGAGCAAACTAACTGAGTAACAACAACTAACGGAATTACTCGAAATAGCAAATTATGTTCGAATTAAAAAATGACAAGAAGAAGAACGTCGCTGTTTACATGATCAACACGGACGAAGCGCAACCTATCTGTCAGAGACCGAGGAGACTACCATCGGCCAAGAGGAAAAGGCCGAGAACAACCGACTAGCCCTTGGACGTCGCCGGTAGTTTTGGTTAAGAAAAAGGATGAATCAACACATTTTGACAAAGAAAGATAGCTAGACTTCAAAAGTGGTTACTAGCAAGTGGATTTGGATCCTGAAGCCAAAGAGAAAACGGTCGGTCTGGCAAAAGGTGATTGCTAAATCTACTGAAGTGAAATCGTTATGGGCCCATTGGAATTATTTTGTTGAAGATGATGACCTCCTGAAGCGGATGGTAGAAAGTCAGGATAGTACTGAAAACAGACATCAACTGATTACATCGCGAAGTTTGGCGTGAGATGACCTGTCAGTGTTTTCCTCGAAAGGACATTCTGGAGTTACTGGGTCAACTGCAAGAAGGACATTGAAGACTGGTATAAGAAATGTACGACTTGTGCAGCTAGTAAGAGACCTCAAAAGCGACAGCCTGTTCGTATGCACCAGTATATTATCGGTAGCCCGTTTGAGAAAATTACCATAGATATCACAGGATTGCTTCCGGAAACCGATGATGGAAATAAGTACACAGTAGTGGCAATGGATTCCTTCATGAAATGGGTGAAAGCGTACGTCTTTTCCAGTCAGACATCCACCGCTTCAAGGAAGAACTCGTCATATACTTAATCAGCCGATTCGGTGCATCGATAGAACTTCATTCTGAAACTTCGAATCCGCCGTATTATAGGACATTTGTAAGATACCAGGAATTCCCAAAACCCGAATTACACCTCTGCGTCGTCAATCAGACTGAATAGTAGAGTGAACATTAACAAGTACTTGTCTAAGATGGTCTCCAAACATCAGAGAGACTGAAGTGCCACTGTTTATTATGGTATATCGATCGTCGATCCATGAAACAACTTGGCAGACACCGGCAAAAGTACTGGTTATTGCGACTTACCATACGACTTAAAGTTTGACGATAAACCTGGCAAGAATGTTGCCGAAAAAGACTACGTCAATGAGCTACAAAAGCGACTTGACGACATCCACGAAGAAGTTACTTCCTGCATGCAAATATAAAGTGATTGTATTAAGGATAATGTAAGGGTGTATCCCACGAAGGAGACTTGGTATGGCTATACAATCAACGGCACTAGGGAGAAGAAGTAGTTTAAGTATAGAGAAGTAGTTTAAGTATCTATAGTTAGTGTTATTGTCTAAATAATAAACTGCAAAAATATCCGTTAAATAAAAATAATACTTAAAAATTCGTTACACTATTCTAAAATATTTTGTGTTCTTAAGTTAATAATTTACATATTCACGTATTTTATTAAATAATGTGTTTTGTCTTGTAATAAAAGTGTAAAAAATAATATCTTTTTTATAGAGAAGGTTTGTTTAAATTATGACAGATACATACATAGGTATGCTCTATTAAAAGGCCCATAAAAATTATTATTTGATATAAATCATTATTTTGTGGTAAAATAAAACTGTGGGCATTTGGCCATTCACGACAAGTATTTAAAGGAATTCTTCATTTATTTTGAAACACAAAATTGTTTCTGAGAGAAATTCTTCAATATTATACAATCATTAATGTGTGGAAGGTACACATTTACTCTATTTAATTGTTAACTGTCGATTAATCAAATTATGGCGTCTCTTAATCTTGAATTTTATTGGAGGAAGTGTCTAAAGAATACCTAAAAACCTAAAGTAGTTTTATGGAACGTGACCAGATTTACGATTCTTATAAAATTCGAAAATTTTCAAAAAATATGTTCTTTTTCCGTTTTAATTTTTGATAAACACAACAGAAAATATATTAAGATTTAGAAAAAGTAAAGTATACCTAGCAAATGTAGTTTTTAACTTTTCTCGTAAATTTGTCAGCTACAACTATAATCTAAAGTAATTTTTTCAAATTAAGTTAATATGTTTCTGTAAGATTCAACTTATATGGAAGTTCCTGTAAAAATATCAAAGATCAAAGTTTTTTAATAAGTGTTCTCAAATGTACTTTTAAAGAAGGAGGTTATCCTGCAATGTTTCTTTCTTAATTACCACGATACATATTAATTTAGAAGTTTATTCACTATTTTCAAGTTAGCATGTAATAAATAAGACAGCTAGCGTACCAACATTGTTTATTACATGTACTTGTATTGTTCATTTGTTTTCTCGTCGCGAACGGTAACTGTTTACGGCCGGTATAAACAGTCGGGGTCGGTTTCCGGGGTAAGTGTCGAGTTTTCAATTTTGTTTTTTTTTTTTTTCGTTGACGAAAATACGGCGAACCGATAGACTTTTCTTCGGCCGGTTCTCGCGGTAAATGTCGCGTAATTATTGAATCTTTTTTTTTTTTTCAAAAATGTTCAGTACGTCACACAGACTTTGGACTTATCTCGCGAATGTATCGTAGTGCGCGTTCGGGAGTTCGAAAATATCTAAAACCGGGAGTGCTCGGAATTAAGTAGTGTCGCGTGTTATCGAAACGTAATAGTGATTTGGATTTGGACATTTTGAACTTTGGAGCTGTTTAGCTATGGGAGCGACGAGACTAAGGTAGGAGATTTTTTTAATTCATCAGAAATTGGATTATTATTATTATGCTTTTTGCACAATGGTTTACCTAATACAACAGGTAGTTTGTATTAAGGAACCTAAAACGGTTTTAAGAGCACCTTGGATTAAATAGTCGTAGGTGTAGTTTCCTAATAAGGACTGAGGATGTTGCGGATGTAAGATTTTCCAAATTCGTGAATGCGGATGTTCGGTTTTTTTTAATTTCAAATTTAAATTGATTTGTAAAATTTAAAAAAAAAAATGATATTTGATAATTATACGACCAAAATGGGTCTTGGTATATTAAAAAAGTATATTAAAAAAATATCTATAAAAGAAAACAAAAAATACTTACTTAAACGATGTGAAAGAGAGTTAAATTTCACCATTATCGCGTAATTTTAATTTTACATGTTTTAAAGTGATATCATATGCATGTCTAAAAACTACCGAAAGTATCTGGCATACCAATTCTATTTGTACAATAATTTTATTTTAAATTTATATAAAAACAGTGTAAGCGATAATGGTGAAATTTTACTTTGTTCACACCCTTTACATTTGGTAAGCCAATTTTTTTCTTTTAAATTAACAAATTTGCTATCGAATACAGTACAATTATTTAAAATTCGCGATGATGGTAAAACATTTTTTCTTTTTTATTATAAATAATTTTTTTTTTAAAATACTTTCGGCTAAGTAAATCAACGCGTACCAAGACCATTTTGTTCGTATTATTGTAAATTATCAATTTTTCTAAAAATTTTACAATTCCGCGATGACGGTACTTTCAATGTCACCGGCTCTTAGCCTATAAGTCTGCGCTATCCTTTCTAGCAGAATATATGTACCTAATGAGTTTTCATACGAAAAGCAGTATATTTTGTATGAGTACTAAAACGTTTTTATGACACGGGTAATTTAAGAGTAGGTAATGTTTTTGTTATTGTTTTTAATTTATGTCCTGTTATTATTGTATGCTCATAGAGCTTCTTTAATGATTAATCGTAATGAACGAGTTACGATCGCACTGAGCGTGGTGTTTTAGTGCGACAGAAATCTTTCCTTTAAATGTCTCCGGGAAATCCGCATGTTTACGTTGCTTTATGACCTTCTTTAAGTTGTGTTATAAAAGTTCTCCTAGAGAGCAGCAATTTTACGAGAAATATTCGATATTATACGACTGGTTGTTAAGGCGGATTTTTTCAG